AATTCTGATAGCTCGAACCAAGTTCAAATCCTGTCCTGTCGAACTGGCTGCATAGAAGGTTTTATGATTTTCCCCGCATGTAATGTGATTACGAGCGAGTTCTCTTTCGACAGCCTTCTACGAAGGTATCTCTACCATTAGTCATTATACCCTCTACGAAGGCCTTTGTGTGCTATGCTATAATTAACCTAACATCTAAATGTTTAATAAAAATATTTTATACCAATTTAATGAAGAAAAGGGACTTTTCCCTTATACAAACTCGTCTAACAGTTATCAACAGAAAGATGGATATGATGACACTTCTTCTTAGCCATCACTAAATTAAATTATATTCTTGTTGCTAGTATAACAATGCTCTTATGTTCAAAGTAAGTATTGTCAATAAAAATGTTTTAAAATGTGTTATTCTATTTTCACTAATGATATTTACGCCAATTTTTTAAACATTTAAGATTTCTCTATATATGGTTTTCTTTCCTACTTTTCTTTCCTCTTTCTGTGTAACCTCCGGGAATTCTAATAATTATTAGTTAATTAATAGAGTCTAAAATAATAAAGTAAAGTAATTATTATTGAAAACTTAAAAGTATCTCTTTCTTTTTGAAAATTCTGCGACCCTTTGACTTTCCAAAGCAAGATAAATAAAGCTTTAGAAATGTTTGTCTCGAATTTATGAATACAGCTGAAAGATTTCATTCTAGAAATGAAATTTTTTTCTAAGAATAATCAAACTGATAAAGCTCTAATATCATAATTCAACCTTTGAAATAAAGATAAACTGAATTTCTATGTCACTCCTGATTTTACTTTGTTCCTAGATTCGCTTTAAAATAGTCATAATTTCGGAGAAGGAGCAGATCGCTGTCTAATTAGTTAGAGACTGAATAGATAACAAGTTGCAGATATAACATAGAAATCTTAAATAAATATGAACATAGACTTACGCTAATCATGCGGTGACACTTTGTGTAGAACAGATCCTCTTTATTCAGTTAGATAATCAGCAGATAAAGTGACTTTGCGTGAAACCAAGGCGAATATGTTTTGCATGTGCTTTAAGGTCTCGCTTATCCGTTATAAGCGCTAAATTTGCTTGTGTGGTGACAGTCTTTGTTTACCGAAAATATTAAACGGAAAAATACGTAAGTACCAAAATAGAAAGTGGTTCCGAATTTATTTTTATATTTCAAAAGGCAAAATAAATATTTTTTCAAATTTTCCATATTGTAAAGTTTTTACTTACCTTAAAATAAGGAGTGAACCTACCTATGAGCATTATCTAAACTCTTCTACAGATATTTATCTATTCGTAAAGGTAATCTTAAGATAGCTTCAGCTTTCCAATTAAAATGTTCATAAAAAAAAGAGACATGTAAAATCGCCTAAAACTGATAGTTCGTCCCATGTTTAAATCCTGGCTGCAGGAATTTTTGTAGTTTTCCTCATATATAAATGCCAGTTTCTTTTAATTAAATGCTCAATCAATTAATTGTTTCAATTGAGAAGTCCTCCACGAAAGCGTTCCTTCTCTTAAACAGATGGTCCTCATGTGCTGGGCCATACTAAATAATCCACATTTTTAAGGAAGATCAGCATTAATACTTGATTTATCCAGCTTTAAAACAAATTAAAGCTAAAAATGAATTTACAGTATTAACTTACTGTTAATTTAATATTCATTATTAAAGTTAATTTACAATATTTTTATTTGGTCCGGAATTATTGTTCACATGAGAAGGAAAAAAAAACGTAGCATACACTTTGTTGTCGAAAGACAGTGTTGATTTTAGGGTGGTTTAATGTTTTTACGCTTAGCAGATTAAAAAAAAAATATGTTATATACAACAGATGCAGAATTTTTAGACATTAGAACTGACGTTTATGGGCCATTGTATGTCAAGATTTTTCATTTTCCCTCTGTACTTTATGTACAAATTATATACTTCTATTTGAGACAAACTGAGAAAAACTTGAGTTTTTGCTCACATTTTTATCTACACAACCTTTTAGCAGTATGTGAAATTTAAAGCCATCATCATTTAAAGCCATAATCATCTATTCAAACCAAAATTCAGAACTCGAATTATAACAACTCTTTGGCTTTTAAATAATGATTATACTGATCGAATTTAATAAAGATTAGTCTAGATGAAATTCCACACCTTAGTAGAAAATGATAGCTAAACGAGCAAGTAGCAGTTATTTAATTAACTGGAAAGCCTGGGAGGGTTAAACCAGTCTTGGGAAGCGTGCCTTCCTTAAAAGGGTCATAAATTTTCATCGTGATACTTTAATTTGATCAAGTTCGCCCAAGGCTGTTGTAAAACAGATTACTGCTTTGATGTTCCACCAGTCGCCGAGTGATTAAGAGCAATGAATAGTGGTAGTTCGACCTGGCTTGGGTTCGATCGTAGATTATACCATGTGTAACGTGAATGCAAACCAGTTTCCCTCAAAAGTTCTCCACGGAGGGAACCTCCTCTTAGGACCCACCAGCGACCAAGCGGTTAAAGTGGCTCAAAACTCGTAGTTCGGTTCGGGGTTCAAATCCTGGCAAGAAGGATGCTGCACGAGCGTATTCGTGTTTTTCCCATGTGTATATGGATACGATCCAGTTTTCCTTAGAAAATCTTCCACTAAGCCATCGCTTCCCTTAGGTAAATAGCCCTCGAGTGCTTTACCATAATCAAATAAACCAAGCCAAATCAAACCTCCCCTTATACAGATAGCCCTCGAGATTTTGCCATATTCAGTTAATCTAACCTACTGCTTTGATTCTACGAAGTAAAGATAGTAATCGCGAAAAGTTTCGGATATGATCTTTCAACAGAAATATTTGATCATCCAAAATCCATTTGGACGACATTTTTGCGTGATGTCTGTACGCGCGGACAGACTAAAGGAATTTTTTTCCAAAACAGATTGTAAAATGGATTCAAAAGAGATTTTTTCATGACGTCTGTACGTACATACGTATGCATGTATGTATGTATCTCGCATAACTCAGAAATGATTAGCCGTAAAGTGTTGAAAATTTGTATATGGAACTGCTATAACATCTAGTTGCGCATCTCCCTTTTTTATTGCAATCGACAGTACTAAAAGTATGCATCTATATCTCGATTCTGCACTACTTTCCGATCTATCCGATAATAATCAGCGGTAATCAGTGTATTTACCTGAACATTTATGAAAAAAGAGAGCTTTACCAGGTATTTCTGCATCTGAAAATATTTTTCCGAACGTTTTTTAGATGTTGAATTCTTTCAAATTAGAGAGATTGTGGTGGTGAACTAGCGAATTGAGGCAAAGCTTGCGAGGCTCTTTGCTTAATGGAGGATTTTCGAAGAATCGAAAGGAAAGGAAGTTTAACTCAAAATTTAACTGTTAATAAAATAAACATAATCCTTACATACTTTCACGTTTAATCAGAAGATATCTATAGCGAGCTGTTTTAATGTTTAGATTTGTCGTTATTTAATTTGAATATTACAAAGTCACATCTGCTATCTGCGTAAGAGAGGAGAGATGAGTTCGTGGAGGACTTTCTAAGGGAAACTGGCTTGTATTCACGTTACCCCACATGAGAATAAACCTCGAAAACCAACCATGCAGCCAGCCCATTCGCCTGGGATCGAACCCAAGCCACATCGAACTACCAGTGTTTAGTGGTCTTAACCATTCGGCCACTGGTGGGCTTTTAGTTTTCTGATTCACAGTTTTATTTCAATTGACAGTTGGTTGTAAATTTCAAAATTTGAATCAAACATGTTCATAGTTTGTCAGTAATGTATTCATATCGTCAGATTAGCATAGAGTTTTAACATTAATTTAGTATAACTGTGGATTTTAGCCAATACTACGATACTTTTAGAGTACGGTAGTCATATGCTATGTTTAAGCACTAGTTTAAAGGGACAAGACATTCCGATTGCGCAAGACAGCCCCGCATTTCAGTCCAATGCCCCGATTCAGGATATGTCTTGGAAAATGTGCTGAATTTTGATATTCCTAGATTTTATAAATATTATCGACATGAATTTTATTAGTGCCATACAGCCATAAAGTTATTTTTTGTGGGATCAGGAATGTATTTAATAAGGAAATAAACGTGCTTTTGTGGTTTTAGGGGGCTCGCAAGAGCATCAAATCAACTGGTTTCGTTTGGCTTATTTGATTATTGCAAAGCATTCGAGGGTTATCTACCTAAAGAGAGAAATGCCTTCGAGGAGGACTTTCTAATAATATGGTTTGTGAAAGCCTTTCTGGTTTTCTGTTTCAATTGCATTTCCTGTTTTGTGATTAGACAGTGAAATTAAATCATCATAATACTTTTAACTTGATGACTTTTTGAAAATGTTGCAGAATTTAAACACAAGGAAGATAGCTTAACTTCGAAGAATAATTATCTAACGTTAACTTATTCGATGAAATATTATATTTGGACAGATAAGAAATTACCGAAAAATTAATAGTTATCCGAGTATAAAATTCAAACCGAAACCAAATGGAGCGAGATTTCTTTTAGCAGTTAAAACAATTTTCTTCTAAATATTTAACATTAGTATCTGAACTCGCTTATCAGGAACATTTGAACAACACAATATACATTTCGATAATTAATACGCTGAAACCACTCCTCAATGCAACCACATCTAAAGGAGAACAAATTTCTGAGAGCATAAATAAATACTAGTATTGTATATCACTGATAGTCGTATTCCTTATGGAGAATACATTCACAGATGACAGAGACTATTTAGAACCATACGGTCTGTTTGGGCAGTTTCACTCTAACATGTAAGCAGTTGAAAAAATCCAACTAAGAGTGTTAATTGTTAAAAATAGTAAAATTATGCTCGAACTTTCTGCCTCACCGAAAATGTGTTAAGCTTTGAAACATATCTAATCACTTTACACTAGTTAAATTGCATTTGCTCTGAGAAACGTGTTATGTCTATTATATCATATTATTGTAAAATAATTTTCTATTGCAGGTGAAATTATGAGACTGAAGAAACTTTGGCGTCATCCATTCCTTTTAGCTTGTTTTGTTTCCTGCTCCCTACTTTGTTTCGTCTACTTAAGGCATCAATGGATGGATGACTATGCAGCATCTGAGCTTTGGGTGTATGAGAATATTCATAATTTTCTCATTAATACATCTGGATGTCAGATTCCAGCATTTAATCCATGGGACAAATCAATCAAGCATTTATATGAGCCTGTTGATCAATACAAATGTATTGGCTCCCCTTCATTTCTACGGGTATTACCTAATGGTATAGTAACATTAGAAGATGTACTGCTTCAGTATTATTATGAAATACAATTTCGTAATATTTCTTGTGTTTTTCAAGAAATTATTCGCAATACATCAAATGCAGAAAACATAGATAATGATGTGACATTTGGAAGAACCCAAGCTTTGATTTTCGATCAACCTTTAGGTGCAGAATTTATTTACACTACGTGTGATGCCGGGAGTCGTGTTGGAATATTTAAAGAATTTCTTCCATTGACTCCCCTGAAGAGCACTGTTGAGAAGTTATGTAATCACCGCCAAAAGCAAATTAACGTGCATAAGCCAATGAACGTTATATTTTTAGGTATAGATTCCATATCTCAATTAAATTTCATCCGACACTTTCCGAAATGTCAGGACTTCCTGTCTAAAGTTTTATTTGCGATTAATTTGAAGGGATATAATAAAGTTGGAGATAATACGTTTCCAAATATTATGCCTTTACTAACTGGCCACTTTCATCAATATTATGACAAGCATCGTAGTAATAACTTGTTTTTTGATGACGTGGATTTCGTATGGAAAATATTTTCGAAGATGGGATATAGGACGATGTTAGCTGAAGATGCTCCCAATATTGCTACTTTTAATTATTATGCAAAAGGCTTCAAGAAACCCCCTACTGATTACTATTACAGACCTTTTGCTTTAGCTGTAGAAAAATCGGAGTTAAAAAGCTAAGAGTAGAGAACAGTGTTTTGGAACTAAGATGGAAATGCAAGTTTTGTATGATTACATAAGAAATTTTGTGGAAACAATGGGTAATGACCGCCCTTTCTTTGTATTTCCGTTTTTAGCGAGATTAACTCATGATGTCTTTAATTTTGCCGGATATGCAGACGAGCCAACATACCAGCTACTAAAATTCTTGCATGATAATCGAATATTGGAGAATACATTACTTATATTTTTCAGCGATCATGGTATCCGTTTTGGACCGATCCGTAAAACTCGTATTGGTCAGTATGAAGAGCGATTACCTTTCATATACTTAGTTTTCCCCAAATCATTCCTAAATAAATATGAGAGTATACATAAAAATTTAGTCATCAATAGTGAGCGCTTAACAACTCCTTTTGATATCCATTCGACAATGCTTAATTTAGCAGCTCTGTTAAGAGGCGATGCTACTTTCGAAAATAACATGAAACCCGGTACTAGCCTTTTTTATGAGATACCCTGCAACCGAACATGTTCTCAAGCTGGAATAACACCTCATTGGTGCACATGCCAAGTCCACCACGCTGTTACGAAGGAAGATCCAGTTGCACGAAAATCTGCTGAGGCTGTGATACAAGCTGTAAATAATTTGACCTCTGCCTATAGAAGAAATTGTAGTATTCTAACCCTTGATGAATTACTTGATGTTAAGATATCAGAATATCAGAATACACCTCATACTAATATCACACAAAATAATATAATTACCGAGTATTTAGTCATCGTATCTGCTGCTCCCAGCGAAGCTGTATTTGAAGCTACGGTACGTTGTGAAACTGTGGAAGAAACTTACTGCAGAGTTGTCGATGATATTAGTAGAATTAATGAGTATGGTGAACAGTCTTCATGCGTGCCTAATGCAGTATTGCGGAAATTCTGTTATTGCATGTGATATTCAGAGAATTAATCTTCTCGCTTTTTAATTCAATGCTATGATTTTAACTAAGGAAATGTTTTTATTTTTTATATTTATGACAGACGTCTGTCTGTAAATATTTTGTTACCAAATTATTTCTTGTATCGACGAAATATTTTTATTTATTGTTGTATACTATTTTGAGGACTGCTAACATTGGTTTAAAACATGTATAGTCCTAGAAATGCTTCAGTTTTAAAATAATATTCAGAAATAACATTATAGAAAACATTGTTTTAAGAGCAACAATTTGTTTACAAATAGCAACCTTTCCTCTTTCTAGCTTTACTGCAGTTGAATTATGGAAATCACCTTGTACAGTCATTAGGATGTTTTGATGCTGGAGACGTGAAAAATGGGCACTGCCTCGCCTTGATTTAAATACCAGACCTCCCGAATACACTTCGAGTGTGCTTTCAGTAAAACCACGAAGGTGTGCGGAAAGGAGAGCGAAAATACCTGATATATAAGATAATTTCTCCCCTTTCAAAGAGCGGGGATGAGGGGACCCAATCGCCAAATCTTGGTGGTGACGAATTATCATTCACCATCTTTTAGCTCGAGCGCCACTGTAGAGACACTAGGATTTTTTTATGTTGGAGACGTGAGAAATGTGCACTGCCTTCACCGGGATTCGAGAGTCGGACCTCCCGAATGCTCGTCAAGTGTACTTCCAGTTACATTACGAGGACATGCGAAGAGTAGGGAGAAAATACCTTATAATGTCGTAACGTCAGTGATAATGTCATACCTATAGTTTATTCAGTGTGCTGTTATTCACATCCGATGGTTCCATGAAATTAAAAATGAAGCCTTACATCGAAATTTAATTGTTGTACATTTTAAAATATTTTATCTTCCATGTGAATATATTTTGTAGGTAACAATGTTTCCAAATTTTATAAAATTTTAATTTCTCTTGAAGAAGATACTTGATAGAATGCTATAGCAAAAAGGCACGTGAGTGTATCCTGAATTTTTATATAGGGTCTGCAGTTTTACATAAATTTTTAATTATATTAATGAACGAAGTTAGATATAATTAAATTATCAGGGATCAGGACCGTTGAACAGTATCCAAAAGAGGACTTTGTACACGCTTATATAGATGGTTCATCTTACTTACCACCACTTGAGTTGCTGTACCGCCTGTTAAGTCCCTATCACATGTATTTCCGCTACGCGGGAGTGGACGCCGAAAGGGGCATTGCTAAGAACCCGCACATTCTACGAATCCCATTACCATTAGGTTACCATTTTCACTTACTACCAAGACGTGAACGCCAAACAATAGTCGATTATCGCTCAGATTGGGTCATGTGATCCTTCAGAAGCAGAACTTTCTTCTGATTGGTTGATCTCTACGCGAGACAGAGCTGCAACCTAAACATTTCCGGCGAGGTTTCAAAAACTCCCGCGCAGCCGCAACATTGTTTCCGTAGCTGGGCGGGACTTCACTTCAGGCGCGGCTCTTTTTTACTAGGAATCCTCCCGTTTAAACCAGTGCTACCAGAATCTCATTTCTCTAAAAAGTCCCATCTAGCAGGTAATGTCGTTAGATGTGATAACCCCTTTAAATGACTATCAGCATTGTACTCAATTGGTGGAGCATTCTGTTGTCGTGGATCTCTATGAAATATTAAAATTTGTAGCAGAACTTATAAAGTTACTTCGGAAGATGGGTACTTGGGACCTTAGGTTATTAAAGAGACCCTGTCAAGACTGTGCTGAATGAGGATTTTGATAATGTTTTAAGCATTTGTGATTCTGAGTTTACAGAGACCATTTACTCTAGAAATCAGTGGTAACTTGGATATAAGAAGTTTATCAGATGCATTATACGGAACAATATTTACGGGGTATATTAATGTACATCATATGTGCTGTTCACATATTTGCAGAGTTCCTATGTTATATTTGTTTGTCACATTCATAGTAGTCACTTGTGCTATTCACTTATTTACAATTCGCTTACAATTCACTTATGTATAATCTGCCTGATACTGAAGGTGACGCTGTGAAATACAAATCAGTTTGTAGAGCTGAAAATTTATGTCTTTAATTGAAAAACATGTGGGATTTACTAATATACAGAGCACCATTTTATATCTGCTTGGCATTTTGTACCGGTTACTGGTACAGAAAACTTGAAGATGAGGCTAGAAAACATAAAGTTCATTATAACACCACTCAGCTGCTAGATCTGTGCTAACACCATTTTTTTTTTGTTTGTTTTATGAGACAATCAAGAATGGAGGTTCTGGAGTATTTCTGACTGGCCCAGGCGATACTGCTTATTAACACAATCCTGGCGTTAACTTCATTGTCTCTAACTTCACTTGCGAGCTTTTGGCAGTAGAAGAGGCCTTGACATGCATAGATCTCTTCCCATTTCGGAGCAGGCAAAAGTAATTGCTGCCTTATGAGACTGAAAGGCAGCTCTATAGGCAATTCTGAATGGAAACTCCCTGATCATCCACGGTATTCACTTTCGCCTAAGAGAGCTTCAAAAGTTAGATAAGGTCTGTATTCTTCAATGGTTGTCAGCGCATGTCAGAATTACAGGTAACGAGGACACGGATAAGCTGGCAAACGAATTTCGAAATCTCAGCAAAAATAATAACGTAAATATCACCTTATCGCTTTTCTTTTGGTCTGGAGGTCTGTACCAGCATCGCCTAATCATCACAACAGCAAATAGGAACCTTTATATCAAAGCACAGAAGAGATCTTTGCCTTTTTTTTTTTTTTTTTTTTTCTCAAGACATCTTCGCTAAAATATTTTCGGGATAACAGATTCAAGTTTAAATTTGAGTTTGACTCTACTTTAAATCTGAGGCAAAAAATCTAGTAAAAATATCAAGATTAGCATTGTTTTCGGAAATGCATCTCTGTCGGGCGGAAAAATCAGACATACGATGAACTAGAATTAAATTAAAAAAGTATTATTTATTTTTGATATTTATATAATTGTTTTAAAAACGTAAAGTTTTTAAACAATGAAAAGTTTAATGTATATGACAGATAAATAGATATATTTATTAATAATAATATAATATATAATACATTAGTATAAATAATTACTATGTAAATAATTTTTCTTGCCTTGGATGAAGCAAATTTATCAATTACTTCATCAAAGTCGATCATTTCAAATTTTTCTCTTTCCACATTTGAAAATGCTAGATCACTTAGGCGATCTTGCCCCATCATTGATTGTAAATATGTCAAAATTAATTTTAATTTGCTGAACCAACGTTCAATGATAATAAAATAGTTAGGAGTATTTGAAGTGCTATTCTTAGGTGTGGAAAAACATCTTCTCCATACGATATTATAAAGGTAAGATCTGTAATGGAGTTTTAGGTTCAGTCTCTTTTGTGCTGCGAAGTAACATCTTGCATTCACATGCACTGTTCAAAACAATTAGGAGATATTGCGAGTTCCGTATGAAATAACCATAAGTTCGACAACTTTTTTAACAAAAGGAATTAGAAGAGGTTATTGTTGTACCTCTCATCATACAGCGAGGATAAGTCTGGCAACAGCTGCAGGAAGAAAAACTTGGCAGTGCTAGAATGGCAACAGCGGATGATATTCTATAGATTTTAATATTTTGATTTTGAGTCGACGTTTTCCTTTGCGATATTATTGCGTTAAAACATTTGAGTTTTGGGTGAATGAAATGAATCCGCTGCCCCGCTGCGGATATTAGTAAAATATATTTAGAAAATTAGCTGCGTTGAAAAGGATGAAACCTGTGTGTTTGAATTTGCCGTATTTTTCCTCCTAAACTTGCGTCGAGTTCAGAATATTATGCCAGGCTTATTCACGTTGGTGCAGATAAGTTCAAATTTTGCTTATTGTATTTATAGTGTATAAAATGCAAATATATGAATAGAATTCTATAAAATAAACATTTAAAATTCTGGAATGGTGTTTTAAGATTTTAGATGTAGAGTATTCACATTGCTATGTCGGAGCCAGTGGCAGTCAGGTGTAAAGTAAAATTGTTTTTGCTCCACGACATAACAATATGGCGAGCCAGACAGGATTGCGATCCTGATTCGAATGTGTTGGGATTGTTATATTAATATAGTTGAGAAAGTATTGTGTTTGCTATATTATATTATTGTAGAAGTAAATATTAATTTAAGTGTTATTTGGAAACGTAATGCGTTTTATCGTCTGCAATGTTGAATTTCGTATTTGTATTTGAATTAGTTTCAATTTTCAATTGAAATGCTATGCGTTAAATCGTCTGCAGTGTAAACGTAGAAAAGGTTATGCGTTAAATCTTCTACTGTGATATTCAAAATAATTTTGTTTTGCTGTATTATGAATGTTATGACATATTGTTATTCATTTTTATTATATTGAGTTATATTTTTGGAATTGCTGAGTAAAGACGTTTTTGAGGATTTGTCGGATTGATGATAACATTACAGATTTTGAGTTTTAAGTGGGTCTGCATTTAAAGATAAAATGGATGTTGATATGTTGAAGAAAAAGCGTGCAACGGCACGCAGTGCCTTTACTAGGACGGCTAAGATTCTAAAAACCGAACTTTGTGAAAGATGTTCAAGCGGATAGAGATGTATTGAAAGACAAAATTTTGAAGTTGCAGATGATAATTGCTGAGTTGAGATCTTGCGATTCAGAAATACTAGATTCAATGATTAAGGGAAAAGCCGCTGAAGATGATCTGGAAACAGAAGTCATAGGCTGCGAAGAATATTCAGATGAGTTTATCACGCTTAATCGTCGGGTGAAAGAGAATATAGATAATGCGGTTGACCGTAGTGTCAATACGAGTTCTATCACGGATAGTAGCATAAGTGCTTCTAATGAAAAACGGTACAAGTTGCCGAAAATTCAAATTAAAAAATTCGATGGACAATTATTAAGTTACCTTACATTTTGGGGTTAATTTAAGAAAATCCATGAGGATAAGTAGCTTAATGACGTTGACAAATTCCATTATTTAGCTCAATCAATGTTACCTGGAACTCGGGCTAGTGAGTTGATAAATAGTTATCCTTTAACGGCTGAAAATTACCCGAAAGCTATTTCTGCGTTTGAGGAGCGTTTTGGAAACAAGGAAATTTTAACTGAGATATATGTGAGGGAATTGTTAAAATTAATTATCCAAAATGTACGCTCACAAAGGAAGGGTCGGTTGCCGCTAGTGTCACTGTTTGACAAAATCGAATCCCATCTCAGATCTCTAGAGTCTTTAGGCTTAGCCCTGGATACTAATGTTTCCTGGTTATATCCCATGGTCGAGTCTTGTCTGTCTGCTGAGATGCTTCGAGTATGGCAGAGAAGCGTTTTGTTCAGTAAAGAAGCATCACGTCTCACAAATCTCCTGGAATTTTTGTGTAAAGAGGTCGAAGGAGTTAAACTAGCCAGGTCTGGATTTGAAATTTCTTCTACTTCGCGCAATGAACATTCTAAAGATGTAAAAGTTAAGACCAAAAAACCAATCGCTAGCGCAGCAAGTCTAGTTGCTGTCAAAGAACAAAAATGTGTTTTTTGGGGAAAATCTCACGAAAGCAAAGAATGTTTTACAGCTCGATTGATGAGCTTAAAGGAAAGATTAGACAAATTAAGAGAATTAAAATGCTGCCTTCGCTGTCTTAAACCAGGACATTTTGCAAAGAAGTGTCCACAGTTTATTCAATGCTATTTGTGTACGCGATTTCACCCTATAATTTTATGCCCGGAGGTATCAGAAAACAATGCTGACAATAAGGAAAAACGAAACGAGTCAGTAATGATACAAAGTACAATGTCCTCTCCCTTATGTATGAATGAAGTCACTCTTATGACGTTAATGGTTGAAATAGTTGTAGGCACTGTAAAGAAGGTGGTCAAGTGCCTCTTGGATTGTGGATCCCAACGATCTTACGTTTTACAATCCACAGCTGAAGCTTTAAATCTGAAAAGCACTTCCTCTGAGACTTTAACTCACGCGTTATTTGGCGGAACAAGGACTGAGTCAAAAATTCACAAGAGATATTCTATAGGTCTAAGCCCGGTTGGGAAAAAACAAAGTGTACCAATTTAGTTTTCTGGATCAAAATACCATTTGTGGAGGCATACCACGCATACCTAAAGGACCGTTATTGAAGGAATTAAAAAGACACAGAATTTGGATTTCAGATGTCGGTGAGGGTCACCCGGAAATAGAAATCCTCATAGGGAGTGATATTTATGGGCAAATACTTACTGGTGAAGTAATTCAGCTTGAGGGTGGTTTGACAGCCATAAATACTAAACTGGGATGGACGCTGTGCGGGGAATCGAAAAGGAACGATTATCCAAAGTTTTGAGGGTACCCCATCTATGTTAGTAACTAATCTTCTTATTCAAGACATGGAACCTTCCTTTATGTGGAAGTTAGAAACTATCGGCATTGCAGATGATGCGCAAAGCATTTCCAGGGTCGCAGAAGATCAAGCAGCGAAAGAGCAGTTTCTTAGGGGCCTTCGCAGAACCGGAGATGGTAGATATTGCGTGAGTTTACCTTGGGCTCTAAAATTCCCTCCTGATATTCCCTCTAACTGGCATATTGCAGAAAAGAGGCTCTTTGCTACTACGAGAAAATTGAGAAAATTAAATAAATTTGATGAGTATAGTACAGTATTTAACGAATGGCTAGCGGAAGATGTCATAGAAATTGTCCCAAAATCAGTAAAGAATGACGGAGGGCATTATTTACCACACCATCCAGTAATAAAATTAGGTAGCCTCACTACCAAGATTAGGCCTGTATTCGATGCGTCGAGCAAAGTCGTTGGTTCGCTTTCGCTAAATGATTGCTTGATAAAAGGTCCAAACCTTGTAGAAGAAATCTCAGCCATTCTAATGCGGTTTAGGGAAAAGGCAATTGGTGTAACATCCGATATTAGGCGGGCCTTTTTACAGATTGAGGTAGAGCGTGAGGATCAAAATTACTTAAAGTTTTTGTGGTGGGTAAATAATAGAATTGAAGTGTTTCGTCACAAGAGGGTTGTTTTTGGGTTAACTAGTAGCCCCTATTTATTGGCAGCTGTGATTTCATTTCATTTGTCCCACGTTTCACCTGAATTCAAAGCTGTTGCGAATAAACTTGCCAAATCATTTTATGTTGACAATTGTGTCACGTCAGTCGATGATAACGAAGAGCTAAAGGTTTTTATGAGCCAGTCGATTACTATTATGGCAGAAGCCAAAATGGATCTTCGAATGTGGACTTTTAATCAATATGGTGATCAAGAGCTAGCAGCTGAAGATAGTGATCCAGTCTCCGCAGTTCTAGGCTTGCAGTGGGACCGACGAGATGACAGCCTTACAATATCCGTCCAAAGAGAAATCGTTAAAAGAGATTTATCAAAAAAAGAGACTATTGTCTCTAATCCATGCTGTTTTTGACCCGCTAGGTTTCTTTGTGCCCGTCATATTACCTGCGAAATTAATTCTTCAAGAGGCTTGGGCAACAAAATCGACCTGGGATAAGCCATTACCGGATGAACTTCAAACAAGATTTGGGAGATGGTACGAAAGGTTGCCTAGTCTTTCCAGTCTTAAATTACCTCGTCGCATGGGTCATGGAATTAAGGATTCATGGACTCTACACGTCTTTTGCGATGCTAGTCAAGCTGCTTATGCAACTGCCATTTACTTAAGTAAGGAAGAAGACAAAGTTTTCGTGAAATTCGTCATAGCAAAATCACGGGTATCGCCCTTAAAGAAAATAAGTCTTCCGCGTTTGGAGTTGCTAGCCTGTGTTCTAGGTGCACGCTTGGCAAGGTATACTGTTGAAACCCTGTGCTTAGTCGATGTCCCGATATATTACTGGACAGACGCTACCGTGGCTCTTAGCTGGATACAACGAGAGGAAAACTGGGGAGTATTTGTGAACAATAGATTAACGGAGATTCGGAAACTCTCGAAGCAGGAATGTTGGAGACATATCCCTGGGAAATTGAATTCGGCAGATG